GCAAAAATACGCTTACATATATAATATTTAAGTCTAAATATAATGTTTATTAAGGTTTGGTTTGGAAAGAAAAAAAATTCGTAAAAAATTGTCTGTGGCGCTCATCAAGTCGATCATTTCCAAAAAAGTATTTTTTTCGGCATAACCTGACACACATTTGAGATTTGCCTATTTCGCGACTTTAGCCTCTAATGGTCGAAATGATTTCGACCATTTCGACCATTTCGAATATCCAAAATGATCTGTTTCAACTTCATGTATAATTGTGATTATAAAAGGAATATTTTCTTATTTAAAAAATTGTGATTGAATTATAATGTGACTAAAGAAAGAATGTAATTATTTAGGAAGTGACTATAGAGGGGTCGATTGTATTGGCAAAACCTTTTACTTCAGACTTATAACAGTTTCCATTTTTTAGTTTATTTTATAAGGATGTTTAGTGAACAACAAAATTTTATTTACATTGATCAACCTCCTGATCATATCTGATCTAGAAATAAATAGCTAATGATACTTTTGTTTTTGGCATTCCAAATGATTAAAGGGATTTATCAAAATTTCTATTAGATCAGAAATTCTGAGCATTCTTAAAGAAAAAATTTTATACGATTAATAGTCATAAATGATACTTTATGGATTATTTTGTAGAGGACTAAAATTTATAAATTAGTGTTTCCCAGAATGCAATTATATAAATTTTATTAAATTTGACACATGGATATTAAAAATTAATGGTTATTTTTACACAATAATATCATTATATAACTCTTGTATAAAATGGCATTATATCATAAATAATACACACGCATTTCTCATATTTCTTATATAAAAGACGCAGATGCATATTTTTCATTAACTACTTCAATCATGTTTTCTCATGTCTTCAACGAACTTGTGATATATCTAAATGAACATAGAAAATAAATTGTTTTGAAATTTTCTTTATCATCGAAACATTATTGTTATTTTGTCAAAGTTAGTATCCTTAGAAAACTGGCAGGAGCTCGAAAACCCTTGGGTTACACATTTTTTAACAGAAATAAGAAATTTGTTAGATTGAAACAATTATTATATTTTAAATAAAAAGATGTGCATTTTTTATTTTGCAAAAAAAGGGTAACTCCTATTCGATCGCGTTTTTGAATCAGAAGAATTACTGAATTTGACGACTTGGTAACTACTCCAATTCCTCTATTCAGTTACTCTATTTTTGTTGTTAGTAAGGGCTGTCTGTTGTCTGGAGGAGGAATAAACTATGTACCTTTATTTATCACTAAATGAAAAAATAGCGTATCTAACAATACTTTCTTATAATAGGTCAAGAAGAAATGTTCGCAAGATGCAGCTAAATTTGAAAATTACTGGCATGGTATCATTCAGGAGCACAAGAGGTATGTTATTTAGATCTTATCAGACTTACAAGTTCAGAACTTGGTTAAATGGCTTCTAATATCATTTATAGAGATTGGAACTTTCAATATATGAAGCCGAAAAGGATCATATTTACTTTGTCCTCGCTGAATTAAGTAATAATATAAGAATGATAAGCTAGAATTACTGATAAATGAGAAAAAAAGGAAAAGTAAAAGTCTTGAGTCAACATCGGATATTAGTGGGGACGTTGGTAACGACTTTAATAGAGAATTTCTGGTACTACAGTGGGTGCTAAAATCGGATGGGGAAATACTAATAATAGACAAAGTCGTGGCAACGAAATAGAAGTGAAATGGAATCCAATAAGATGCAAGAACAAACTACAAAGTCACCTTTAACACGTGAAGTTAATCGAAATCAAAAAGCGGGTTAATTTGTTGTACCAGATTGGATTATGACATTTAATTTTTGCATATGTTTATAGGTCCCACAAATATCCCTACCATCACCATCACCAATACCTTCTTCACCACCGTCACTACCTTGCCCTCTTGTTTAATTTTATTGTATATTATTTTGTTTGCTATGCATTATCCCAAATATTGAACTCTTAAATAATCTAAATTAGCGTTAGCTTCAGTGAGTTCGCGGTTCAATTGTTCTTTTTCAGTTTGCTGAACCCATTTGATTTTATTAATAAGCCGAAAAAGCAGCCGAAAATCAACTGGAAAATAAATTATTTATATAGCCTTAAATTTTATATTAATAAAAATATTGATCGTGCGTTACTTTCTGATGTGACTATACATGCGCAGTTATATTGCGCTTATTATTATTTTGCTTTTAAATATACTTACAATAATTTTTTATATTTTTTATATATTGCGCATATTTTAATCAGAACCTAGATCATAAATTTTTTGGTTCGTGCAACATTTACAGATCTACAGAGTACCGGTATTAATAAATTCTAACGCGTCGTATCGTTAAACTCGACTATTTCGCGAAAGATATTCGAACTTGTTTTAATAAATTGCATAGTTTCTATTATTTTTTAATATTACCTGGATTATATTTTTTTAAACAACGTATTATAGAGTAAAACACGAATTGAAAACAAAAATATAAGTCATGACTTTGCCCAAGAGACTTGCTTTAGAAACACTTCGTCGTTTACGGCAAGAAGGAGGGTCTCGTCTTAAAGAATATGAGGTATAAATTATGTAAATATATATATTCTCGCGTCAATTATAGCAAATTCACGTGTAACAAGTTTCTTTATTAAAAAGGTTCAAGAACCAAGTATCATTTATGATGAGGTTACAGAAGAAATTTATCAATCCGAAGTCAAGAAAATGACAGAAATGGTCGTTAATGATGATGGCTCTCAATATATAACAGAAGAATTAGATGATTTGGGGCAAAAATATAGTGATGATTCTGAGTATGAGGATGATCCAGCAGATGGTTTGTAAATGGATTTGCTGTAATGATCTATTTTACGTGCATTTTATATATGAATGTTTCTTACTTCATAATTTACAGGGAAAAGAAAAAGAAAATCTTTAGAGAACTTAACGGATGTTAAACCTAATACAACTATCAACAATTACTTTTTACGTGCAGCCATTTCAAGTAAAATGACAAAACCTAAAAATGTACGTACCTTTTTTTTTTTTGATAGAAAATTAAATTATATAATATTTTTGGTATTTTTAGACAAAGTCTACCAAAGAAGAATCCGAATTCATGTCTGATCTTCTGCAAGGATTAGATGATGATGATGATGATGATGAACATGTAGAATTCATGCAAGTCATCAATGAAGTTCCTTATCAGCAAGAAATTCAAGAATCTTCTTTTGATAATGAATTTAGATTTGGTTATCAAAATAAATTCGATGATATTTCTTTGAATCAACCGATAAATTCGAATGATTCCTTAAATGATCAAGTAAAAAGTCCCATGAATGATCAAGTCAAAAGTCCCATGGATTATCAACCAAATAATTTAGATGACGATGATGAACAAGAGAAAGAAATTTTATCAATTCAAGAATCTTCTTTTGAGAATGAATTCTGTTATCAAAATAAATTTGATAATCTTTCTTTAAATCAACCGATAAATTTGAATGATTCCTTAAATGATCAAGTCAAAAATCCCATGGATAATCAATCAAATAATTGTTACCGATTTTTTTGGATAGATGCAATCGAAAAGGCTGGATTAGTATATATAGTTGGAAAAGTAAGTTATTTAAATTTTAATAAATAAAGAAATAATAATACGTGTTCTATTTACAAATAAATCATTTTATTAGGTTTTTGATAATAAATGCAATTCATATATGAGTTGTTGCGTCACTGTCAAAAATATCCATAGAAACATTTTCGTATTGCCAAGACAAAAAAAACTTGATGGTAGGTAGTCTCGATATATTCCTTTAAATTCTTAATGTTAAATTAATTAATTATAAGTAACTGTTATATAAATCTTTTACTATATTTCGTAAAAATTTACAGAGAATGATCATGAAACCGAAATTGAAGTGACGATGGAAGATGTTGGTAGCGAAATTTATAATTATGTTAACATGGAGTTAAAAGTTTTGCAACTTTTCACGAAAGCAGTCCGTCGTAGATACGGATTTGAATTACCAGACGTTCCTGCGGAAACGCAGTACTTGAAAGTTATGTATCCGTTTAAACGTAGGTCTCTTAGTTAGCACAATCATAAGAATGCTATGCTATCACAATACGAATCTTAATTTATTAGATTAACAATTTTTATTTACAATCCATTTTGTGATTAATAATCAATAGAAGAAGCTTTACCTAAGAACTTGAGTGGAAAAACCTTTAGTCGCGTTTTTGGTACGAATACTTCTGCACTTGAGTTATTCTTATTGAAACGCAAAATCAAAGGCCCATGTTGGTTGGAAATCAAAGATGCATTGGTAGAAACTTCAAAGGTGAGTATTATATTGAATTATACCGTTTTTATAATACATATATTTATGTTAGTATATTTTTTTTAGATTTCATGGTGTAAACTTGAGCTTCTCGTTGAAGACCCTAAAAACATAAACCCTTTGAATGAATCGAATTTGGCCGAGCATATTAAACCACCTCCATTAACAATTATGTCATTAAGTTTAAGGACAATATTAAATGAACAAAAGCAAGTTAACGAAATAGTTGCTTTTAGCGTACGATTTTATCCAAAAGGTTTGAAACGTTTATTATCGATAATATGCAACTAATCGTTCCATATTCATTATAATTTTCTAATAAATTATTTGAAATGTAGTATCTTTGGATGAAACAGTTCCGCCCGAACAGTTACAGCATCCTACACAATATTCTGCAATTCGTCAATTGAATAGTCAGCCATGGTGGCCTAATTCTTTCGAAGAGCACGTGAGGGAAGAAAAAAAAAAAGGACTTCGTTTAAATTTGGAAACGAATGAATTTTCGTTAATAAATTACCTATTAGGTTGAGATTTTAACTTTTTCTAAATAATTTATTTCTCTGATATATAGATATATATATATATTACTTATTTTTATGAAATTTTAACAGCACTCATCAAACAGTATGATCCTGACATTTTTGTTGGACACAACTTTATTGGATTTGATCTTGATGTTTTGTTACATCGTTTAAAGACACTAAAGATTAAAGACTGGTCTTGCCTTGGAAGATTTCGAAGAAATGAGTAAGTCGCAATTCTTATAATAGTTAGTGAGAAAACTTATGTACTTTCAAATGATTTAATTAGTTATAATATTTGATTTTAGATGGCCAAGACAACATAGTGGGTCAGATTCATCCTTCGTAGAAAAATCGATCGTAAACGGTCGACTGATTTGCGATACCTATCTAAATGCAAAGGTAAGAAATCTATGATTATTATTCATTGCATTTATTTCTACGTCATATGTCTAACTAGCCTTAAATATGATCAATAGGATCTTATTAAATCCAAAAACTATACATTGACGGAACTTGTTTCGTCACAATTAGGCAAACTTCGAAAAGACATTGAATATGATAAATTTTCAACGTATTACGGACGAGCTAAGGATCTACTATATTTAATATGTCATTGCTGGAATGATGCTATTCTCACAGCAGAACTTATGCTCAAGCTTCAGATTTTGCTCCTTACTAAACAATTGACGAACTTGGCTGGCAATATATGGTATAAGTCCAGTAGAATGATGTTCATTGGTTTAACTTCGCTTAATTTATAATTTCAAATTATAAGCTTATGTAAAAATATATTTTATCGAACAATATTAATAATAGGTCAAAAACTCTTGCTGGAGCTAGAGCAGAGCGTAATGAATTTCTTCTCCTACACGAATTTCATCAACATAAATATATTTGTCCAGACAAAGAATATAAGAAAAATCAAGAGCAAATTAATACTAATGTTGAAGGTAAAAAATTTTATCTTGAATAAATTTCTATATTTCTCCAAGTTTAAATATTTTTACCCATCTCTTTATAAAGATGAGCCGACAGAAACTAAAAAGAGTGGACGAAAAAAACCCACTTACGCTGGAGGTCTTGTGCTAGAGCCCAAGAAAGGATTTTATGATAATTACGTTGTCCTTTTGGATTTTAACAGCTTATACCCTTCAATTATTCAAGAATATAATATATGCTTTACTACAGTAGACAGAGTTGGCATGGTGAGCTTAAAAATTTCGTAGTATATTAATATACTGTGACGTAAGGAAGATAAATAGTTTATTTATATCTTATATTATAATCAAAGGAAAAGGATAATATTACTCCTGAGGTGCCTGATTCGAGTTTACCACAGGGAATCCTTCCTAAACTGATTGCGAATTTAGTTGAGCGAAGAAGAATGGTAAAAAATCTTATGAAGAATCCAAAAGTAACCCCAAGCGAACTTGTCGAAGTATGTGGAATCTTTATAAGCACCTTTAATTTAATGTGTACATTAATATTAATTGGTTTTTCTTATTATTATAGTATGATATTCGTCAAAAGGCTCTTAAACTTACAGCAAATAGTATGTATGGTTGTTTGGGTTTTCCTTTCTCCAGGTTTTATGCCAAGCCGTTAGCTATGTTGATCACTTCTAAAGGTCGTGAGATCCTGGAAAATACTGTTAAGTTGGCTGAGAGCGAAAAGATGGAGGTGATTATTATTATATTTTATATATTTTTTTTAAACAAAATTTTAACCCTGCGTATAATTGTATGGTTTTTTTATGTATTATTAAAGGTCATTTATGGAGATACGGATTCAATTATGATCAGCACTAGAGCAACAGATATAAAAGAAGCATCAGAAGTTGGTAATATCTTAAAAAAGAAAGTCAACGAGCGATACAAATTGGTTGAACTTGAAATCGATGGGTTTTTTGAGAAATTGCTTCTGCTCAAGAAGAAAAAATATGCGGCAATCGTTATAGAAGAAATAAACGGTAGTTTGAAACGTACGTGTGAAATGAAAGGGCTCGATTTGGTTAGAAGAGATTGGTGTGACTTGGTGCGTAAAGTATCAAGGCATGTATATTTATTCATAAAAATCTTTTTTTAAGAAATCATTTATGTATTAACTTTTTATTTATAGATATGTTTTAGATCAAATTTTATCATCTTATGATAGAGAAGTAGTAGTTAATAATATTCATGCTTACTTGAGAGAAGTAGGAGAGCATACACGTTCCGGAAAATACCCTATTTATTCCTTTATAATAAATAAAGTAAGGTTTAATTTTAGAACATTTTCCTCATAACAGTCATTAAATTTTTTTTCATTAAATTAATAGAATCTCGCAAAGCCACCCGAAGCTTATCCTGATGTTAAAATTCAACCTCATGTGCAAGTAGCATTGAGAATGAAAACAAAAGGATTAAATCCCCGATCGGGAGATACTATTCCATATGTTATCTGTTTAACAACTGAAGAATCTGATAAAAGTACTGCTGACCGAGCTTTTCATCCCGATGAAATAAGCGGATCTAATTTACAAATTGGTAAAATTTCATATAATTTTAATTTTTTTTTTATAATTGTAATATAAAATAATTTACATTATGTATAATTAATTATATAGATCATGATTGGTACTTAAAACAACAAATTCATGCTTCGATATCTAGATTATGCGAACATGTTGACGGAATTGATAACTTATCTATTGCTGAATGTTTAGGTATATACAATTTCTAATATTATTATGATAATTATTATATCAAAACTGTATTTCATATTATAACCACTGTTTTTATAAGGGCTTGATCCATCAAAATTCAAAAGTTCATCAAATTCGGCAAAGTCGTCATACCAAATCAGCTCAAAAATGCCGAAGGAAGAACGTTTCAAAGGCGTTGAAACCTTTAAACCAAAATGTATATATTGTGATGCAATTAATACCGTTGAATGTTTATGTCCACAAAAAGTAAGTATTTGTCATTTCATATATATAAATTTTTATAAAATATTCTTAATATTCTTAATAACTGATAGGAAGGCGTAGTTAAGTGTAGTGGATGTAACAATATTATCCCTTTTGCTTCGATCTTGACACAACTCACTTTCAAAGTTCGGTCACATATTAAAAAATATTATGACGGTTGGAGAGTATGTGATGAACAAAGTTGTTCGTATAAAACTAGACAAATCACTTATTCAAAGAATTGTATCAATCGAGGATGTATTGGAAAAATGAAAGTTGAGGTAAAATGTTATTTCTATATATAATGATTATTTTTAGAACATTCAACTAACTTTCTAAAATAACTTTTTAAGTACGACGAACAAATGTTATATATCCAGTTACTATATCTATCTCAATTATTTGATATGGATAAAGCGCGAAATAATGGTATGAATTATGTTTTCTCACAGAATATGATATTTCGTAAAATTTTTAATTCTAATTTTGTCTTTTATTATTAAGGTGCTCAAATTGTAAAAGAAGTCGGCAGATTGAAAAGTTCGGTTGATAAATATCTGGACCAAAATGCATTACGTTATGTAAATTTAGGAGAGTTATTTGCTGTTGATTAATACATCATAAACTTGGTATTTTATTCATGTAAAAAAATGAGGTCGATTTATACATTTAATATTTGTTAATTAATATTGTTTTTTAGTTCTTTAATCCAGTTTTTTTTTTCTTTTTTTTTAAAATAAAATTTTTAAAATGATAAACAAAAAGTGTAACCTTATATTTTGACTTTGTCTTAGATATCGATTGCCTCAGATATCGTTTAAATAATAGATTTTAGATTGTTATGAATATTTTCAATAATTATTTCTTTTCTTTTGATTGAATGGTGCAAGGTTAACTGATTTAATTTAGTTATCCCTTTAATAGTAAAAAATTGCAGGCAAATTTGCCTGCAATTTTAATCAACTTTAATTAATTAACATTAATTTTTACTAATTAATCTACAGTTTTTTTTTGATTTTCACTTAAAATAGCTTATGAAATTTATTATAAAAATATTAAATTTACAAAAAAGCTTTACTTTAAAATTTTTTGTTAGAGAAATATTTAGTATTATTAAAAATACTAAAATTTTGATTTAAAATGTATTATTTTTAAAAAAAATAATAATTTAGAATAAAATATATGATATATTTTAAATAAAATTTAGTAAAATGTTGAATTAAAAATTAATCAAGTTTGTTAAAATTGCAGGTAAATTTGCCTGCAATTTTAATTGATTTTAACATATATTTTTATTAATTAAATTATTTTTTTTTTTTTTTGATTTTTACTTAAATAGTTTATGGAATTTATATAAAAATATTTAATTTACAAAAAAAGCTTTACTGTAAAAATTTTTGTTAATAGTAATATTTTATATTATTATAAATACAAAAAAAGTTTATTTTTTTTTAATACAATTGTTTAAAAGAAATTATTTAAATAAATATTATTTAAAATAAAATTTATATATATTTTAATATAAAAAAAAGTAAAATAAAATTATGAATAAAAATTTAATTATTAATCATAAAAATTACAAATTTTATTTAATGATCTAATTATAAAAATTTTTAAAACAATCCTTTCTTGAACTATTATAACATAATGCTATATTACATAAACTATATCATAATTAAGATTGTGGTGATGATTTTAAACTTTTATCATTTTTAATTTTATTAAATATCTATATCATGTGCAAACTATTCTATTGTTTCTTCACTCCTAAAAATAATTGCCTAATATTAACCTTTCTAAAGGTAATTCAAAATTACTTGAAATATAAGTTTGATTTTTATTTGAAGTTGAAGTTAATAATGATGTTGATATAACTTATGTAAATTTTTATTTATCTTTATTATACATTTCTCTTTTATTTTCTGATTTTATTCCATCTTCAATTAGTTTCCATGCAATATTTAATCTAAATAATTTATGATTTACATTATTACTGTTTTTTTATTTTTGAAATTAAATATAAATTAATTAATGCAATATCTAATAACCAAAAAAATAATGATAACCAAGTTCTTTGTACAGGAAATTGTATAATGTAATTTGATCTTAGTTAATCATAAAGATAGTTTCCATAATTATTTTTAAAATTTTTAACTAGTTGCAACTTAAGTTGCAACACTTTGAGTTGCAACATTTTATGAATTTTTATATTAAAATAAATTTACAAGGAGTTGCAACTTATCAAGTTGCAACTTCTTAATTATAGTACCTATCTTTAGTTGATTAGCTATATCTACACTTTCCATAAAATGATTATAATTATCTATAATTATTGGAATAGGTAAATTTTTCTAAACTCATTTTTAAAAATAGTTCATACTTTAGTAATATTAGTACTAGTAATTTGTAAACGTCGATGATTTTGTTGAATAAAATGTTATGGATCATTAATTTTATGTATAGTCATTAGCATTGTAACAGGATCATTATCCATCTATTTATCTATCCATAATAATGCTAATACTTTATCTATCATTATTCCAGAAAGGTATTTCAATTTATTTTTTTTGATTTTTAATATTTTTGGGAATTTTCCTGCATTTATACAAGTAGTCTCACAAACACCAAATTTTTTATTTCTTAAAAAATTAAATAAGTTTATATTTGAAAAAAAAATTATTTATAAAGATATTAAAGGATGTAATTGTTTAATAAGATGCCAAACTTCATAGCTAGTTTATTAAGTTCTGGAATTGTTTTAATATATGAATGGCAATCAACTCAAAAAAGAAATATAAATGAATATATATATTCAAATTCATATAATGATAAAATCTTATATTCTTAAGAAGTTAGTTTACTTTTAATTTTAAATATATGTGTATTACAATCAGAAAATTGTGAAATCATTTAATCAATTGAAACATTTAAACCTGAAATATAAATAGATTTTGAAATTTCTTTTTGTGTAGCTAAAGGTTTGAATTTTGAAAACCAATAATTGGTATTAATAAGTTAGAAAATATCAGAGATATATAAATATCTTTTTATCTAAAATAAAAAAATAATTTTTTTTTAATAAAATTTCTTATTTATTAAATTAAAATTAATAAATACATACTTATACAAATTGTAAAAAAGACATAAAATTTGTTATTCTATGTATTGGAAAGTGTTCATTTTTGTTCCAATAATTTCTAATAATAGGTATTTTAAAAATTCCAAAATATATTAATAATCCAAGTCAAATGTATAATTCTAATAAGATTAATAGTTTCCATGATCTTCCTTTACTGGCATTTTTTATTGATGTATATATATTTGTATTTTTAATAATTACTTGTAATATTTCAATAGAAAAAATAATGAAAAAATAGAATATTTAGATAGAGAATCAAGTTGTTGTAAATTAAAAGGTAGATTAAGAGAAGAATAATATAAAGATTTATGATGATTAAATTTTTGAAATAATAGTAGTAATAGAAGTCCTTCATTTTCTTCTTCATTGTTTTCATTTCCTTCAATTTCTTCATCAATATTTTCTTTAATTTCTTTATTTATTTTTATTTTTCTCTTGATTTTTTCCTTTTTGTTTTTTTCTTATTCCTCTTGATCTTTCTTTTCCTCTTGATTTTTCTCTTCTTATTCCTTTTAGTCTTTCTCTTCCTATTTCTCTTGGTCTTCCTCTTCTTGTTCCTATTGATATTCATTTTTCTCTTTCTCTTGATATTTCTTCGGATCTTTCTCTTTGCATTTTCTTTCTGTTTTTTCTATTTTTCACCTTCGTCTTTCTCTATTTCTTTATCAAAATATTCATTATCAGAATAATTTTGTGGATTCCTAACAATATTGTAAATATAAAGCTTTTCATTTGTTTCAAATTCTTCAATTTTATCGAAAAATGCTTCAATTCTAACATAAGAATCCATTTTAAATGTTGATTGTCTACCTTAAAAATAAAAAAAATAAAAATAATTTATAACTAAAGAGATACTATTATTTTTCGATAGTTAGCCAGTGGATACACCTGAGTTGATTTACATAGCAAAAACAATGATGATTACTTACTAAACAAAAGTCAAATATTGGTTTGCATAATATTCTTTTTAGGTGGTCAAGTGAGCAAAAAATTAGTTTTTGGTCTAAAATATATTACAGTAGGTATATTGTCATTTATCAAAATAATGATAGAGAAATTGGTAGTAAAACAAGAATTTTAAATAGGGTGTATATCACAAATTTATTAAAAAAAGAATGCAACCTTATCTAATAATAATATGATGATAAAATGTTTTTATAAATAATAATCTGCAACAAAAAATACAAATTTATTATATGGTTTATAAAAGAAAAAAAGAATTGCAAGATTTATATATATAAAAAAAAGAAAAGTAGATATGAATTTTTAAATTACAGATAAAACTATTTTTTTTGTAAAAAAACAATTAAATACCCAATTATTATTTTATAATGTCATAATAATCAAACTCAGGCCTCTAAATCCTAATTATGATATAAGTATTACAATGATTGAAAATTGTGCAATATCAACTACCTATAATTTGTGACTATTGTTTAATCCAAGTTATACAGTACTTACCATTAATTCTACTCTCATAAGTATCCTTTACAAATAATGTAACACTTATTCATTACAGATCAGCCCTAACTATAAATTCCAAACTCAATTGGTTCATTATAGGTGATTTTATCTATTATCTTTACCTATTATCAGGAAGGACTAAATCTAGATAAAACAAACTTACACTATTTGGTAGTAACTACTATACATGAAGTCAAAATGGATCATTTCGGATATTCGAAATAGTCGAAATCATTTTTTTTTTTTTTTTTTTTTGATGTGACTCTGCCAACTATTTTATTAAGATTTATAGATTTTTCCGAAGAAAATAAAAGAAATTACAAGTAATGAAAAAACAAAACAAAATAAAAACTATCTAATAATCTAGACTAAATGTTAGCTACCTCCCGATAATAGAATATGTAAACATACCTATCCGTCTAGGTCGACCTATCATCATCAATTCCCTCCTTTAGACCCAAAGAGACTAAGCCCAATGACTACTAAAATCATCAAGAAAAGAAAAAGAACATGTCAGAACCGATTTAAAAATCTGACCATTTATATCCATATGTAAGGGCAAGTTGAATCCATAGTTCCCAAGTATTAGTTGTAACTATGCTGTTATCGTAAGACAAATGTTTGCATTTCTTCTTCATGTTTTTCATGTCAGAAGTGATATTTTTCGATAATTCTTTGGCAATCATAAGAGAGCAGCGATATGACCAAATTTCCTTGAATAAATGTTCATAAAGAGCAACAATTGAAGTCGTAAGAATTTTATTGGTCTTTTTAGAAGATCCAATTAAATTCTTGAAATCATTAAATAATGAAGAAGGTAATTTCCCTTGAATAATAGGTAGAAAAGAGCTAATCCTGTGTGTTGGGTGTGCAAAGTGTTTATTTAGGAGCAGATCCAATGATGTTGAGATTGAAGTAAAGAGAGAAGGAGAACAGCATTTTGAAGTTAAATCAATGATCTGGGACTTAACGTCAGAGATGATAACATTGATTTTTGATGAGTAGGCGTCACATGACCATAAATGATCAGCTGTCTCAGTAGTTAAATTGCATCCAACGCAGTTCCAGTTTTTATATAAATCTGGTCTCAGTTTTTCCAATCGTGATAATGTAGGTAATTCTCCCAAGAATATCTTCATTATAAAGGAACGAAGCTTTCGTTGTTGAAAGGAAGTTGAGTATGTAGCCTGATCTAACGTAAAGATAGATCATATTGTCATCCAATGAACTTTTGCCTGTCTTGTTAAGGATTTGAGATCATCATTTCTGTGCAAGTCAATAATATTTGAGACTGCAGTAGCGGCAAAAATATTTTTAGCAAAATGTCTCACTGATGATTCAATTATAATGTCATTGAATTGAAATAAACACGTGATAGAGGTGACATTAAGATAATTGATAGAAATTTCTGGTGATTGAGTTCCTGATTTGGCTAGATCGTCAGCTATATTATTATAAATATCATCACTATGTCCTTTGACTTTTTTGAGTGTAACCCTGAGGTTGGAATGATCCACAATAAATTTGATAGTTTTCCAGAGGGTGTAATTGGACACTTTTTCAAATGTTTGTACAGAAAAATTATTATTGGAAATATAGGAACTAAAGCCGTGGATAGTAGCCATACTATCAGTAAATAAAGTGACTTCTGAATTTTTAGGAGAAACAATCAAAGCAGTGAGAAGTGCGAAGATTTCAGCTCTAGTTGAAGAAATCCAATTGGTTACAGATGCACAGAAGGATTGTTGTTGGTTCAAACTTATCCAGCCAATTCTTATTCTACAATTATCAGAAGTAAGATGTATTAAAGAACCATCTGTATAAAACAATAGAGAAAGAGCAGAAGAGAGTGAAAGCGCTATTTCTAAAAGATGATCAATATATTGTGGTTCGTTGATAAGTTGAGAAATTAGTGATGATGTAAATCTATCATGATAAGGTGTGAAGATGATCAAGGAAGCTTTAAATTTTGCACAGAAGGTAAGTTCAAATGAAGATAAACAAGGAGAGTTTTTTACTGCAGCTTTCTGACGATTGGATTTGCCTATAATATCTATTTAACAATATTTTGAAATGGAATTTTAGACACACATTTTTTTTACCATTCAAGGAACATCCAGGACATTTAACAAGACTTTCAAGTCCCATATCATAAGAGATTAAATTGAAGTAGCGTATATCAGCTGTCTCAATATGTAAGTGTTTTCTAGTAATTTGCCCGTAAACATTGGTATTAGTAGACGGATTTCAAAAGGTGACATATTCTCTATTGGTTTCGGAGGGATTGATATTTAAATCATAAAATGACATAAAGGAAGAGTTATCATCTAATCTATATTCTGGTTTAAGAGATCTATC